GATTCACATCCATTCAACAAAGACATCTGCTCAACTATGTTTATAGCAGCACTATTTGTAATAGCAAGAACCTGGAAGCAACCTAGATGCCCCTCAATTGAAGAATGGTTAATGAAGATGTGGCACACTACACAATGGAATACTACTCTGCAGAAAAAATAATGGTATCTTGAAATTCACAGGCAAGTGGATGGCACTTGAAGAAACCATCCTGAATGAGGTAACCCAGTCACAAAAGGAGGAACACAGCATGTACTCACTCATATATGGATTTTAGACCTAGATCAAAGGATCACCAGCCTATAATTCACACCACCAGAGGAACTAGGATACAAGGTGTATTCTAAGAGATTCATATAAAGTCCCTCACAGAACCGGGAGGCACAAGTCCCCCAGAGCTCAGGGGAAGTGGGGGGGGCAGCAAATGGAGAGAGAAGTAGGAGAAAACGAGGGGGAGGAAAGGAAAACATGTACGACCAGGAAGATTGAGCCTGGTTAGGAATAGAAGATAGGAAAGAGAGAGACAGAGACAGAGAGAGAGAACATAAAAGAGCGAGCCAATATTGGTTTGAAGATAAAATTGAACACAAAGAAAGGTCTAGAGAACTACAAGACTGCTGCCAAATAACAGTTTGAGTTCCGTGGAAAGGCTACCATAAATGCCCTTCCCCGGAGAGTAAGATCAACAACTAACTTATCCATAGAGCCCTCAACTAATGCCTGTTGAAAACAGGAGCAAACACCCATACATAAACACTGAGTCAAAGTAGAACCCAGATGCTGATGAAGAGGACAAGACCAGGGGGCAGAAAGACATAGAGACAGCTTACCTGAACAAGGAGGAGCTAACGGGCCACCAGACTGATAGCTGGGAAGCCAGCGTGGGACAGACTCAGGCCCCCTGAATATGGGTCTCAGCCAGAAGGACTGAGCAGTCTAAGGGTCCTTAGACAGTGCAGCCAGGATGTATCCCTGGTGCACAAAAGGACTTTGTGAACATATCCCCCATGGAGGGATAACTGCCTTAATCTAGAGACAGGAGAGAAGCCCTAGTCCCTACTTCACATGACCTGTCAGATCTACATGACCCCAACTAGATGACATTCCCCTACATATGGAATTGGGGTGGGGGGATGGGAGGAGATGGTGGTTAGATTGCATGTGAGAAGGCAGAGAGGGTAAAATGGAGGGAAGGAGGGAGGGAGGGAGGGAGGGAGGGACGGAGGGAGGGGGAACTGGGATCGACATGTAAAATAATAAATTAAATTAAAAAAAATGCTTTGACTCCAAAATTTAAGTTCAAGGACAAATTACTGGGGAAAAGGATTTCTATTTTTCTTTCCACAGAAAATGAAAATATGTGGATTCCTTCCAAATTAATGTGGTTTGATTAAGCCAGACTGCCTGAAACAGAGTACCAGGTGATCCTACATTCAAAACAGCTGGACAAAGCAGCCTTAAAGACTACAGCCAGGATTTCTGAATCTTCTTCAAATCCCCCATGACAGCACCCCTTACCAGCAGGAAGTAGTTTGGAAAGAACAACGCCCAAATTCCCAAATATTGTCTATAAATGTTTGCTTTCATTTAAATGGACTTGGTTATATAAAATAAATAAATAGAAAAAAAACAAAATAAAATGAAAAGGCATGCAAAAAAAAAAAAAAAAAAAAAAAAAAAAAAGAATAAAGTTCTTCCTTCCTCCCCTTAGCCTCTGACAAGCATTTTTCTTTTTCCTGTTTCTTTATGTGTGACTTTCCTTGGAACTTTATGGAAGTAGTCTTACATGGTTTGTCCTTTTGTGTCTAGTTTGTTGAAGGAGTATAACCTCTTCAAAGCTCATTTATATTACAATATGTGATAGAACTTTGCTGTCTTTTAGGGGTGACTAATATCCCATTGTATGTATATACCACATTTATTTTTAACCCAAATCCATCCATAGCTGATTAAATTGTTTCCCCTTTTATGGCTGTTGTGAATAATCATACTCTAAACATTGGGGTCAGTACTCATGCTAGTATTTTTATGGACAGGAATTTGCCAATGCAAACACCATTTTAAAACTAACACAGGTGGTCCTGGCTTCCACCCTGGCACCCAAGGCTATGAAGAGAATACTGCTCTGAGATTGTGCATTTCTTATAGAGAAAGGTCCTCATAGGACTAACTTTGGTTAACATTACTCCAGGATTTTCACACCACTATTGCCATGGTCCTGGCCAAAGGAGGTCATTAAGGAACTCCCCTGAAACCTCCCATCTAAGGTCATGGTGATCTGTATCAGGTTCCAAATAAAGTTACCTTCAAATGCAGGCAGGTTATGCCTGGTATTGTGAAGTCTCTGATCATCCAATGAGAGTAGGAGAGCCTTGCATCAATTGGGAACTGCACCAGAGTCACCACACTAAGAATCTGAGGTTTTCTAGAATTTCGAGCTGATGAGATGTCTTAAAAACAACTAGAACTGAGTGACCTCCAAGAATGAACACCCCTTTAATTACATGCACTGGCTGGTAAACTTCTCAAAAGAATTGGTATAATTAACAGTTACAACACCAAGCAAAATACCACTGCAGTCAGTACTCACAAGCATGTGCTATTTTTAAAGCACTCTAAAGACTTTACTGCATGGTAATACTTGGAGATATCTGCTGGAGACTGTCTCTGAGTGTCTTAAATTCAGCAAGTTCAGGATTTGCTTATCACAAACCCTCCCATTAGAGGCTCTGCTGAAATTGGTCACAAACTCCAGGCACAAAACAGGCCTCTTTTAGCAACAGAGTGCCTTTATTAGATAATGGAGTTGCTGCCTGTGAAAGAGAGAAGGCTGAGTTAGGGTTCTTTCCATCTTTGCAGGAACCCAGTTCTATCAGCAACATCTCACAGGCTGCCTTTTATCCTGGGAGAGTAAATGGGCCTTAACTGAAAAAAGTTACTTTGAAAAGGAGTTAAACACAGACACACATACACAGAGAGACACAAAGAGAGAGACACAGATAAACACACATATACACACAGAGACAGAGAGAAAGAAAGACAGATACAAACATACAGAGAGAGACAGTCACACACATACAGAGAGACAGATACACACATACATACACAGAGACAAATACACATACATACTGAGAGACAGACAGATACATACACATAGTGAGAGACAGAGACAGAAAGACAGGCACATACATACAGAGAGAGCCAGATACACACACACACACACACCCCAAGATAGACAGACTCATACACACAGAGAGACAGACAAAAAGACAGACAGACACACACACACACACACACACACACACACAGAGTCAGAAAGACACATACATACAAACGCAGAGAGAAACAGATAGACAGACACATACACATACACTGCCCTTTATATAAGGGCATCTGCTCCTCTACAAGCTCCTTTCCATCTATGTGTGTGCATGTGCATGTGTGTGTGTGCCTGTGTACACATGTATGATTAAAAATCAAAGTATCATGATGTATATTCATTTTAAACCACTTTTTAAAATCTATAATATAACCAATAGCCCCCTGTCTTATTTAGGGTTTCTATAGCTGTGAAGAGAAAATATAACCACGGCAACTCTTGCAAAGGAAAATCCTTGAACTGGGGTGGCTGACATTTTCAGAGATTTGGTCCATTATCATCAGTGGTGTGACATGGTCTTATGCAGGCAGACATGGTGCTGGAGATGGAGCTGAAATTGCTACATCTTGACTTGCAGGCAACAGGGAGTGGACTGTCTCACTAGGTGTAGCGTGAGACCTCAAAGCCTGCCTCCACAGCACTACATTTCCTCCAACAAGGCCACACCTATTTCAACAAAGCCACACTTCCCAATAGTGCCATTTCCTATGAGCTTATGGAGGCTGTTTTCTTTCAAACCACCAGACCTCCTATATCAATACATTTGTTATCCATATCTGTTCCCTCTTTTCAGTTTGAAAAATAAATCCAAGTATTTTCCTAATTTCTGTTTAAAGTAAAAAAAATAAAATAAGCAAAGCCATCTCTTTCAGAGGTGTCTTAGAAGACATGACCCAGACTCCTCTTCCAGAAATGTTACCAAATACTTTATGGTAGATATTGATATTTCCTTTAATTTTTCTATTATTTTTCCAGCCTTGTTGAGGTATACACCACAAAAAGTGACTACAGCTCTTACATATGTAGAGGGTGTACAACTTGATGTTTTGACTTGCATATTGAGAAATGCATAAACCTCATTAGCACATGCATCTCCCCAACAGTTATGTTTTGAAACATTTGAAAACATTTCATTGTGGTTTAGTAACATAAATGTGGACTGCCATGTGGAAATCCCTTAGTTGCTACTGAGGAAGCTGAACTCCTAACCCTGCATCTCAATGAGGATTTGTGTCCTGGGCTCAGGATGAGGGGCCAAGGATCTAGAAAACATTAGACAATTCCACCCACTTTGTGAGTGAGCACTACTGAGAAAAAGAAGTAAACACAGAAAACACACAGACTTCTTGGGAAAAATCTTCTTGGGAAAAATCCATGTGCTGTCGCATGCCCTTTTCCTGTAGGATTTCTTTAGAAATGTCTGTCAATACAGACTTTCATCTTGCTGCATCTCAGTGATTTGAAGGCAGGGTTTTCACATCTTAATGGTTCCGAAATTGGGATGTGTCTCATGATTGATTGCTGTAGACCTGACAGGAGTTGTGACACAACAAAATAAACTTGTGACTATGGTAACATTTTGCAGGAGAATGAGCAGAGAAGAAAGGCTTTGAATAAGTTAGATTTGTTTTTTAGCTCTGGGGTGCATTAGATTCACACTAAGTATGTCTTGGAACAGATTCCTGGAACTTTCCTTAAGAAGAAAATACATAGAGTAAGAAAGTGGTGTAAGAGCAGTAGAGAAGCACCATAAAGGGGGAAAGTAAACAGTGGGTGCTGGAGTAATTGAGGCTTTAACACCATTAAAGCTGTAGAAAATGATAATCCAAGGAGATATGAGATATTACCTGGCAGGAGAGAGATTGTGATCATGAAAGTATCTCTCTTGGAGTGAGGCTTATCCATTGCTCTCCAGATGTGCCAACCTTGTTATTTCTCCAACTGTGAGAAACTCAACTACATATTTTGTGGTAGTGGAAACCAATGGTCACACTCTTTGCTATGCACACAGAGAAAAGGAAAGGAGGAGGGTATGGAGAGAATGAATGAGAGCAAATAGAATAGAGCTGAGAGGAAAGTACAAGGCTGTATGCAAGAGAAATAATGGGAAAAAAAACCACAGTAAAATAGGTTGGCAATATGAAATCAAAACATGACAATTAAATATCTATGCAGGAGTAAGAATTTTTTAAAAGTCAATAAGAAATGAGAGTAAAGTAAAAATACATATCAGTCAAAAATCTCTTCTTTGCTTAGAGCACCAAGAACTATCCCTCTCCTCACCAGATGTAAGTCTCAGGCAGACTCAGTCAACTACAATTTGAGCTGAATTCTTAGAATACTTCACAGATGTTGCCATAGCTGAAGAGGAGATGGATCTTGATATTGAATTGTTATTTATCAGCCTCCAAAGAAAAGAAAGGATCTTCTAGGGAGCATGGCTATTTCAATTAGTCACTATTGTTATTCATCATCTATTCCCCTATCAAACCCCTAGCCTTTGTATTGTTATTGGCAACCAAAACAACTTCCTTAAACAAGAAGACTTACCTACCTGAGTCCATGCCAAAGTACATCTCTCTATAGTATTCTATGCCACTCAATCCAAGTACATGACAATCACCTTAGGCACTAAAATAAATGTGTGCACTCATCAGATGCTTTCTTTGCTGTTGATGGGACTGGGATACTAGTATTAGTAAAGGCCCCCAGGTAATGGCTAAAGTCATATGTTTAAGGTCTAATGTCAAGTCCCCACCCTCACTCTGTGATGTCTGGAAGCATGGGCTTTAGGAGCTAATTAAGTCACAAGGGACAAGTCATTATGAATAGCTTTATCAGGTATTAGAGGGAAGACCTCTCTGCCATGTGGGGACACATTAACAATGTGACCATCTGCAAACTTGCAGAGGAGACATGAGGAACCAGGATGCTGAACAATTTGACCTTAGTCTTTCCTATTGTTTAAACCACTAATTCTGCCATGGTTTTGTTAGAATGACCTTACCTAAGAAAAGATATATGTGGTACATAAATCCATCAGAATGCTATTCAGCCACTAAGAGAATCTAAATACTCTTAAGATTTTCTCCAATATAGATGAACCTGAAGAGTATTATATGAAGTGGAATGATCCAGGCACAGGCAGACTAATATTCCATGGTTACATGTGCTTGTGGAATCTAAAACCATTATCAAAGTACAATAGGGGTAATCTGAGACTGGCAAGCATAAGGTGAAAGTGGGAGGGAGGCATAGGCCAATGGGTTACTATAAATGGAGTTTCTGTCCCACCTAGTCCTACAGTTGCTCTGCCCAAAATAAACACAACAGAGACTTATATTATTTATCAACTGTTTGACTGATGGCTTAGGCTTCTTACTGTCTAGCTCTCTCTTAATTATTTACACTTAACTATTAATCCATGTATTTCTACATGGCCTTATCTTACCAGAGAATGCCCTGACCATGTTACTCCTTCAGCCATCTGTCTTGCTATCTCCCTCTGACTCCTCTCCCCAGAATTCTCCTCACCTTGTAGCCCTGCCTATAAATCCTGCCTTGCTACTGGCCAACCAGTGTTTTGTTCATCAACCAATAAGAGGAGCCATCAGGTTACGAAGGGAAAATAAATTCTAGTATATTCTACCTGGTAGGATGACTATAGAAAACAATAGCAGACTGTACATTTCAAAATGTCCAGAGGAAAAGATTTTGGATATTCTCATTATAAAGAAATATTTAATATTTCAGCTGTTAGGTATGTAAATACAATTGATCATTACCCAACATATATCTGTATTGAGACTTCACACTGTGTCCCAAAAGCATGCACAATTATGCTTTAATCACAAAAACATTGTATAACTAGTAGAAACTCTAAGAAGCTCTACCATCATAGAGACAACACATTCCTGAGTTCAAGTCTCATCCAGAGCTACCCACCCACTGACCCAGCACAAGTGTCTGAACTGTTCAAGACACCTTGGTAAATAAATTGGCTGTTTCTTTGTAATGTGCTCGAAAATAACAATCAAATTATTCTTTAGATCATTGAGTTCCACAAACACCACTATTTATGTGAGAAATTAAAGGGTTATCAATAAGAAGTGAAATTATTTCTTCTAGAGTCATTCTCCATAAATTGTATTTTGTTCTTGTAAGAAGTAGGAAACTATCTAATTCTTGTCAGTCAAAATCCAGCCCAGGAGTGCCACCCCAGACCAGCTGGAACAAAATACACCTTTCAGTCCTATTCCCAGTGATGTCCTCAGGAGCAAAACCCCACCACATTAGGTCACCTTGGTGATGAGACTGAAGAAGGAAGTGATTTTTTTTTTCTAGAAAGATCACTGCATATTTAGAGCCTGGGGCTGGTATTGTGTGGTCTGCTTAAAAGACAATTTATTTTGTTTTGAGTGTGGTGAGACTTGTGGCAAAGACTCATGAGACCTTCCAGTGTTGATCCTGAAAGCCCCATTCTCAGTCCCATCCTTTGATACGGAAGCTGGAGCCTGGTTGTTGGAGCTCCCTCCCTGAAGAAGGATGTCCATGCAAAGGAGGAACATGTCCTGCTTTAAAGACTGCAAAGTTTTCATTCCTATTTCAGTCACAAACTCCATAGCACACCTATCCTGATCTGTGGGTTTTTTATCCTGCCCTGAAAAGATACATCAGGGTAGCCTAAAGGAAAGTCATGAAAGCAGGTGAAATGGTTGCTTATTCCCCAGGTTACTTCCTCCTGCAGTGTAGCCTTCTGTTGCAGATCACCATCAGGAGATCAGACATAACAGGACATAATCTTTAGTTCCCCCATCCAAGAAACTAGGGGAGGCAAAGCTTTGGAGTTAGTGTTACTTGCAATAAGAAAACCCAGGAGAGTGATGGCTAAGCAGGCAAAAGTATTTCCTGCATAAGGCTGCCAACCTGACTTCAATTCCCTGAGCCCACAATACACAGAGAAAAGTGGCCCCCAAAAGTGGCCCTCTGAGTTCCATGCACACTCTGACATGTATGTACATGCACACACACTAGTAATAATAATAATAATAATAAATTTTTTAATATAATAAAGCATAAATTATAGATACTGATTCTGAAACATAATTTATTTGTGTGTAATGATAACAACATAGTTACCAGAGATAATACAAAATAAGGAATGTTGATCTACTGTTGCTCTCTGAAGCTAACTAACAGTCTATGAATGAATTCACAGAGCTTCATCTGCCATTCTCAAATGTCACATCAGACCATGGTAATTCATTGCTGACCATGATTTTTTTTTATTTATTTTTCTTATTTTACATATTGATCCCAGCTCCCTCTCCCTCCCTCTCTCTTTCCCTCTATCCCTCCCTCTCCCCCACCCTCCCATGCCCCCCGACCACTCTCCCATCCTATTTCCCCCCCACTCCACATGTAGGGTAATGCCTTCCAGGAGGGGTCATCTAAATCTGTCAAGTCACTTGGAGTAGGGACTAGGCCCTCCCTCCTACCTCTAGGTTAAGAGAGTATCCCTCCATGGGGAATGTGCTACCAAAGTCCTTTTGTGCATCAGGGATACATCCTGGTTCCACTGGCTGACCATGATTTTTTTATTACATGTTATTTTTATGTTTGGGGATGGGGATTGTATGAGTCATTTCTTTCTCCAGCCATGTGAGTCTGGAGATGGAACTCAGGTCATCAGGCTTGGTTGCAAATTTTACTGAGGTAAAGTTCCTGTAATGTAGACTGTATCTATTTTCTGTGTACAGTGTGTTAAAATTCAGAAAATTAATACAATTATAGTATAGTTCCTTCACCTTCACATGTTCCAATTGCATTTCTCTAACCATCATAGGCAACCACTGCTGAGTCTCTGTAGTCTTGCCTTTTATAGAAATTGGATTTTCATGAAGTCAGGAAATATGTAGTCTTATAGTCTGACTACTTGCACTTTAATATAATGATTTAAACATCTGTTGCGTTTATCCAAAAATTGTTTACCTTTTGATTATAGAGTGGTGTTTCGTTGTATGAATTTTGTCCATTCAACAGCCAATGAGGTGTTTGGATGGCTCTGGCTCTGAGCTGCTGTGAGTAACTCTGCTACCTACCATTTGTGCATTTGTCTTTAGCCCCTTCTGTAGATTCTAAGAAGTAAAATCAAAAGCTAGAAACAGAAAGGCATTATCTGACCACAACAAAGGTTATGTGTGAAAAGCCCGCAGACATCATTGTGTGCAGTGGTAACAATCTGAATGATCTTATAAGCTTGAGAATAAGACAAGAACTCTCACCTTAGCACCTGTGTGCCGCATGGCACAAGAGCAGTTCTCAACCTCCTAATGCTGTGACCCTTTCACGCAGTTTCTCAAGTTGTGGTGACCCCCAACCATAAAGTTACTTCACTGCAACTTCAGACCTGTAATTTTGCTGCTGTGATGAATTTTAATGTAAAAATCTGATATTCAGGATATCTGATATGTGACCCATGGGAAAAGGTCATTCAACCCCCAAGGTGGTTGCAACCCACAGGTTGAGAACCACTGCAATAAACATATTTGCCAGGGCAATTAGGAAGATAAAGCAATATAAGACACCCAAATCAGAAGAAAAGAGGTGTGTATGTACCTATGTTCATACATAAAAATATCTAATATATATAAAACTCCAGATCCCCCATGTGAGAAATATTAATAAACTTCTGCACCCAGCCTCTTACACCTGAGTGACAATGTGATGTTGGAAGACGAGGCACAGCAAAGCTCACACCACAGCAGTGCTCATGAGCTGCAATTCTAGAACTGTCAGCATTTGTCAGAGTATAATATTTACATAAGGATGAACCAAGAGCTGTTAATGTTTAATCTTAAACCCTGGCATAGACACATTGTCATTTTTTTAGTACTGGATTTGATAAAAAATAACTCAAATTCTGACTAGTTCTCACAGACATAACTATATTCTGATTCCATGTAAGCAAAGCAAACAAAGGTTTTATTGAAAGTTTAAAA